CTCGGCTCCCACACACCCACCCCCCTCAGCGGCAGCTGCAGCAGTGGGAGACGGAGGAGGAGGAGGAGCTGCAGGTTACCCACACCGGTCACCCCCATGCCCGCCACCCCCAAACCCTATCGCAGGCAAGAGCGCGAAAAGCAGCAGGGGCGGTTCACGGAGGGAAAGGGAGGCGGCGGGGGGGTCTCCTGGGGGCCCCACGAAGGAGCAAGGCGCGGGCCCCCCCGAGGGCGCCACGCCGGGTGACGGGAGGGGGGCCGCGCATGGGCCCCCGAGGGCGGCTCGACGGGCGACGGAAGGGGCCGCGCGTGGGCCCCCAAGGCGCTGCGACGAGGCGACGGGAGGGGGCGACGCGCGGGCCCCCAAGGTGCCACGACGAGGCGACGGGAGGGGGCGACGCGCGGGCCCCCAAGGTGCCGCGACGAGGCGACGGGAGGGGCCGGTGCGCGGACCCCCAGGGCGCCGCGACGAGGCGACGGGAGGAGGGCGACGCGCGGGCCCTCAGGGCGCCGCGACGGGCGACGGGGGGGGCAGCGCGCAGGTCCCCGGGGGCGCCACGATGGGAAGAAAACCGCCGCGCGAAGCAGGAAACCGCCGCGCGCCTCTGGGCGCACGGCGAGCAGAAAACCGCCGCACGCCCCGAGCGCACGGTGGGATAAAAAACGCCGCGCGCTCCGAGTGCGCGGCAGGAAGAAAGGGTCGCGCGCCCGGGGCGCGCGATTGCAAAAGAGTAGCAGAAGCATCGGTGGGGCCCACCCACAGGATCGACCCAGGAGGGTCGACCTGCTCTGATACCATGTCAAGAACAAGGAATGAAAAGGAGGAGTGTTTGCACTAGCAGTAGTTGAGGTACATATAGGAAACCCTAATTGGGTTGTACTCGCTATGGAGTACCCCACTGCAGGCTAGACAATTATCACATTCTGACACCTGGGCCACCCCTCCCTACCCCTCCCCTCCATGCCACGTCTCCGTGACATGCACCGTCGCCTCTTTCTGTCTGGTCTTCCCAGGTCTCTCCCTCCCCTCCCTGCCTCGCCTGCACTGCCCTGCCTTCCTTGCGTCGAGGGGCGGCAGCGCGCCGCTCCTCACTCCTCCTCGTTTCCCCCGACAGAGGCTCCTCTGCAGACCCTCCACCTGGACGTGTGGGGCCCAGCCCGCGTTCGTCGACAGGGCGGTGAGCGGTACTTTCTGCTGATTGTCGACGACTACTCGCGGTACATCACGGTCTTCCCCTTGCGCACCAAGGGTGAGGTCCCTGCTGTCCTGATCCCTTTGATCCAAGCAGTTCGTCTCCGGCTCCGCCGCAGGTTCCGCCAGGACCTTCCTGTCCTGCGTCTGCACTCTGACAGAGGTGGTGAGTTCACCTCCGACCTCTTGCGGGCCTTCTGTCAGGGGGAGGGCATCAAGCAGTCGTTCACCCTTCCGGGCTCACCACAGCAAAATGGGGTTGCTGAGCGCCGCATTGGCTTAGTCATGGAGGTCGCTCGTACCTCCTTGATTCATGCGGCGGCTCCCCATTTTCTGTGGCCGTTTGCGGTCCGGTACTCCGCGCAGCAGCTCAACCTCTGGCCCTGTGTCTCCTTGCCGGAGACCTCGCCCACACTGCGTTGGACGGGGGAGGTTGGCGATGCGTCGCGTTTCCGGGTCTGGGGTGCTCGTGCCCTTGTCCGCGATACGTCTGCGGACAAGCTTTCCTCCCACACCATTCCCTGTGTCTTCCTTGGCTTTGTCCCTGACGTGGGAAGTTTTACCACCCCACCTCGCGCCGTGTCTTCCCCTCTCAGGACGTCACCTTTGACGAGTCGGTTCCTTTCTACCATCTCTTCCCCTTCCGCACTGCCCCTCTCCCTCCCCCGCCGCTTTTCCTCGCTCCAGGTCCCCCTCCAGTAGACCCCCTCCCCCCTGAGGATCCTGCTCCTTCAGGTGTGTCTCAGGTAGACCCGCCCTCCTTAGCTGAGCCTGTAGAGGTCACTAGCGACTCAGGTGCTGCTGCGGGAGGTGCTGCTGGGGGTGCTGCTTCTGGGGGTGCTGAGCCTGCGCGAGAGGTGCTGGGGAGTGCGGAGCCTGGGGGTGCTGAGCCTGCGGCTGCGGAGTCTGGGGGTGCTGAGCCCGTCCGTGAGGTGCCGGGGGGTGCAGAGCCTGGGGGTGTTGAGTCTGCTAGCGTTCCTCTGGGTCTCGTTTCACGACGCGGGCCTGTCTCACCACAGCAGGCACGAGAGTGGCTTGCGTCGCGTACCCGCCTGGGGAGTCGTGCTGTTGGAGCTGCTTGTCGTGGAGGCGCTGGGAGTGCTGGTGTCTCTGGTCCTGGAGGTGCTCGTACCCAGAGCTAGTGGGCTGCCTCATGTACCGGATGATCTGCACTCGTCCTGACCTTGCGTACCCTCTTGCCCTTCTAGCACGCTACGTGGCTCCTGGTAGGCACCGAAAGGTGCACATGGATGCTGCGAAGAGGGTACTGCGCTACTTGTGCAGTACATCGGGCATGGGGCTCGTGCTTGGAGGGCGGAGCTCAGTTGTCCTTACTGGACACTCAGATGCTTCTTAGGTTGACGACCTGGCCACGCAGCGGTCGTCAAAGGGTTACACTTTCAATCTTTGTTGCGGCTCTGTTTCTTGGCGGTCTACCCGCTCGTCTTCTGTTCTCAGCTCCAGTTGAGAGGCTGAGATCTACGCCACAGCCATGGTTGCACAGGAGTTACGCTGGCTCACCCACCTGCTGACCGACTTGGGAGAGCGGCCTCGTTCTCCTCCAGTTCTGTACGTAGACAACAAGGCCTCCATTGCCTTGTGTCAGGAGCACAGACCGGAGCACAGAACGAAGCACATCGCTCTGCGTTACTTCCTAGCTCGAGAGTTGCAGCAGCGTGGTCAGCTTCGTCTTGCTCACGTGGCCACCCGGGCCAACACTGCTGATATATTCACCAAGGCACTTCCGTCTGGTGACCATCAGCGCTTCTGTACTATGTTAGGCCTTGTGCCTGTTTCGTCTCACTTGCTCACTACGTGACTTTGCTTGTACTGTGATCTATATATATACCTGCATGCTTGCTCTTGCTAGGTAGTGATTACTGTACTGTTGTTGTTGCATATATACATCTGCATGTGAACTGGCCTTGTGGCTCTTTGCTTGTGCTCGAGTGTGTGGTGACGTTGTGATCCACCCCGAGCTTGCTTTGCTTTTCTTGACTGGTCTTGTGACCCCTTGTTCTCCCCCACTTTGTCTATGGGGGTGTGTCAAACTATATATGTCTTAGTTATGTGTAGGCTATAGTGGGGTAGCCCGTATGGGGTACAACCCGAAGTTAGGGTTAGTAGTTGTACCCTCATTCCATTCAATGCAATCATTCATGCTTGCTATCTTGACAATTATCACCAAATTTGGTGGCCACACGAGTAATTCGAGGCCTCGCGAGTAAGGATGAATCACCGATCCAGGTTCTACAGTAATTCTCTCTTGCATGTGGCCTTGAGCGCTTGCCAGCATTTCGCTTAGCTGGCAGTTCGACACAAATTTGTATGGACGTGATGATGCTTGGCGGCCCAGGGCTAATTTCTGGTTTTGAGCAACCCTTGTGATTACCGTAGTGTTGCACCTATTCAGAAACTTGATTATCAGTGTGTCACCTTCTTCAAACCCTGATCCATCAGTGTTTTTCTTGTTTATGAAAATCCAACCCTGTGGCATCAGTGTACCAGTTTAGCAAAGCCTGATGAATTGATATTATCGTTGCACACAATGAATTTTTTAGATCATTATACTGGTACATGCCACATGGGTGTTGCTCGTCGTGAGTTACTTCAGCAGGCTGAAATTCCGGTTTCGACAGTTGGCAATCGGGAATCCCGGGTTACGGGAAAGGTGGGGTGGGGAAAGTGGGGGGGGGGGGGGGGGGGGGGGGTATGGTACTCGCTTCAGGGTAAAACTCGTAATGAAGAACGGTAACCCTGAGGCATCAGTGTGCCTTAAATGTAAACCCTGGCATATCAGGAAAATCCTAGCTCCCCAAAAAATTACCCTAGGCCATCAGTGTGACCACCAAAAACCACCCTGATAATCAGGGTATCAGGGTGATTTACACAGATAAAATTAGCCCGGACCCCACCCCCCTGAAGAAACACTTCCGTCTTTTATACGTGCAGCTACTGCCGTAATTAGTCGTCTAAAATCCTTATACAAATACGGTAGCATGCAAAAACAAATGGGCATTGAAGGTCCCAGATTGGTATACACACCCCGGACTAGACTCACTACACTGGGGTTCACCCCGTACGACGGTCAGTACTTTTCTGAGGCCAAAAAATACCCCTCCACCATTTGTGCAAAGTATGCAAGCAAGGCAAGTCGTTTTTCCATGACGATGGCAGTTGCAACTAAGCGTGTGTCGTTTTTTCTTCAATGAGCAGTCTGAAGCTGGGCCAAATCCAGGCTAGGGTGATTTGCCCTTAGACAGGACGATGAGTGGTTGGTGGTATCCTGCATGTTGATGCTCGCGGTACAGTTGCTCCAAGCTGCTAGCTCCAAACACATCCAGCAGCGTCCACCCGGAAAGAAGCAGTGGCATGCGGATAGGCCCATAGATGCGGTGTGAGTTGTATACCAGAGTGTCATTGCCAACTGGCAGGCCGAGGAAGAGCCTCCCTGTTGGTTTGAGCAAGCCCTGGATCTGGTGGGAAGAATAATGCGTGGAAGACAGCTTGGACTGATAATGCCAGCCAACAGAGAAGTACCATCAATCACTTAAAGACTTTGCAGTGGTGTCAAAGCAAGCATAGTGGCTGTAACAGGAGTTCATGAGGCGTGTTGCGTTATGGCAAACTGGCAACGTCAGTTCTAAACAATTCAGAGCAGTCGTGAATGAAAACACGATGCAGGCATGTAGCAGACAGCATGCTTCTCAAGGGAAACCACAAAACTTGATGGCAAAGGAAACCATCTGAGCAGCAGGCCATCACCTTCTGCATGCGCGCCTCTCACCTTCTGCATGCGCGCCTCTCACCTTCTGCATGCGCTGCAGGTCGCCGAAGGGGTTGATGGGGTCGCCATAGCGCCCCAGCCCATCGTGCTCCAGCGAGGAGAACGACACCGCCACGTCAAACACCTCGTCCGTGCCCTCCAGCTCCTCCACTGTCATCAGCCGCAGCCGAGGATGAGATGAGACGGGCTTGTTGAAATCTACGGTTGTGATTGTGCCTGCATTGAATGAGAGGCAGATCGCCTCCACCCACGGCCGCTGGCTGCCGATGACGAGAACGGACTTGCCGCTCACGGGGTAGCGCTCGAACGCCTGCAGGAATGCGGCCGTGGCGTTGGGCCCGTACGACCCAAAGCTCGCATTGCGGGCGCGAGCGAGGTTCACGTTGTGAGCGATCTCCTCGTTGCGCCACGCCTTGAGCTGCTTGCCCGAGTCCATTGCTTCTTTGCCGAAGAAGCGCGGACGCACCTGGGGGGACGCACGGTATGGGAACAAGTACCGTGATACCTCGGCATGTGACACACACCAGTGACCACTAGCTCACCATTCCATGTCTTCCTTCCTCCCTCTCTCCCCCATTCCCTCCCCCCCTTCCCTCCCCTCCCTTCCCCGTCTCCTCCTTACCCCCGTCTTCTTCCCATCCCTCTCCCTCCCACCCTCGCCCCATCGCCTAGCGCCCGCGACCGCACCTGGATGCGGCCGCCCAGTGTGAACTCGTCGCGGAGCGCGCCTTGCACCCACGTCCACGGCACGGGGCCGGGAAACCCGTGACTGCGGATGTAGAAGCGCGCGGGCCGCGAGGAGACGTCGTCCGCCGCGAGCCATGATGCCGCATCCAGCGCGCTGCGCTGCCATGGCGCGCGCGCATCGGGTGGTAGTAGAAGCGCGGCGCCGCGCGTGACGTCTCTCAACAGCAACGCGCGTCCCCCGCCGGCTGGCAGGAATCAGGGGATGGGACGTGTGGAAGAGGGACAGGCATGAGGGGTTAGGCACGGGCGGGTGGATCGTCGACGCAAGTGCCACTTGCAACGGATGCATGCATCGACTTAAGTAGGCGACCGCTGCCCAAAAATCGGAGCCGGCTTTGAAGCTCACCCTCAACGCAGGAAACCGCGTGGTGTGATGCACTATGCAAATGCTCCCCAGACCAACGGGACATGTCACCACGACTCGTGAGAACCGGACCATATGAAACATAGCAACTAGTAGTAACCGTCACGGTGATGGAAACTCGAAACACTGGCAGAGGAGGATAACTGGCAGCTTGCACTGCCAAGGTCCCTACTCGCACGGCTCTGGCTTACACGAGTCAGACGGGGGGAAGCGCGGGACGAGCAAGGCGGCGAGCAACGCGGCAAGGAGAAGGATGACAGCAGCCGCTTTCAACCACGGGCTCGCGGGCTTTCGCGGAATCGAGTCTGCCCTTGGGGAAGCCATTAGGAAAGGTGGAAGACTAGTAGGGTGGGTGTAACGCCTCGCTATCCGATGGGTCAAAACAAGGGTGGCGCAGCGGAACGTTCTGGTGGGCAATGGTCACAGGCGGTAGTGAACCCACTTGCCCACAGGCGTTACAGCCAGTCATATTCGTTCGTTTACAGCTGACTTCGAAAGGTTCGTTCTGGTGCGTAATGGTCCAAGCCGGTAATTGAAAATATCCAAAACGTTGTAAACCGTACGAAACCGCTTTGAACGAGCCCTGAATGACAAAGGAATGACCCGCGCTTTAGGGCCTGAGGATCATTTACAGATAACCACACCTGCTAAGCATGTGAAGAAGACCATTTTACGTGACCGAATGCAAAAGCGGATCCGAGAGTGTATGCGTCCTCTAGAGGAACATCTGCAGCCAATCAGAGAATGGTGGGCCAGGACGATTATCAGCGATCTAGTTGCAGTTGTCAGGGTGACGATCGGGATTGGGGTGACGCCCTTCCCCCGCTGGCAGAAACCTCTGCCTGCTCGCTTTCCTGTGTATACTGGGTTACGCGGCTTTCAACCTATTATACTTTGAACTGGAGCACCGGATATCTGCACCGCGGTTTTAAAACCAGGGTACACATTCAACGCGACTCCAGGCTAAGTTTTGGGCGGCATGTTTGCGGGAACTGCTGATTGGTTGACGAGTAGCGAATAAATAGTTGAGAATGGGCGAGCATGGGGCTTTTCGTCCGTGAGAGATGAGGCTTGGCAGGGGAGAAATTGATAACACTTGGATCTAGAAATTGGGGATCAAGGGGAGGGCAACTGGGTTGGCGGAAAGGGGAAAGGGGGTGAGACGATATTGTGGGGGAAGGGGAAACAATTTCGGTGGGAGCGGAATAGGTATGGGGAGGGGGGAAACGAATTGGCGGAAGCACATTCGATGACTTCGGTTTACATTTGCCAAATCTCGAGGGTTCAAATGTTCACCTGCTGAAGCGAACACTCCCCCTAGATATTCCTAAATCACTGAGTAACCCCGAGGTCAAAGGTTAACCTTTGACAGAAATCCAATTGAATGTGCACCCTGGTTTTAAGCCCAAAACCTGGCAGGGTAGCGCCAAAACACGCCTTGCAATCCTGAGCAATGCTGTCTCTCTCAGCACGAGCACCCATAAATGACCGAGTCGCCTGTGCTGGCCAGTGGGACTTGGGTTTAGGATGTACTTAGCCAGCACCCAATGTTCAGTGGGATGGGATGGTGACGTTTGAGCCATCGGCCAACTACTGTACAGTAGATGTGTGACCGACTTTGTCAGTGCTGAAACTTTTTGTGCGGATGATATATCTCAGCGGACAAGCGAGTCCGCCTGGGGGAGCTCGCTGCCCGCGGGGTGAAAAAAATAACCCCCATTCGGGCATGCATCCGGTCAGGGAGGCATCAACCCTAAACACAGGGAGGCATGGATTTAGGGTTGATGCCTCCCTCGGATGGCATGCCATCCGATAGGTTTTTAGTTTTTTTCTGCCCGGGGCAGCATGTCGTCAAGTCGTCAGAGGGTCGTCAGGCTTGACGACCCGTTTCCGCTGAGATATTCCGAATGCATGCCCGAATGGGGGTTATTTTTTTCACCCCGCGGGCAGCGAGCTCCCCCAGGCGGACTCGCTTGTCCGCTGAGATATATCATCCGGAGGTGCAAAACCAAGGGTTGATGAAACAATTACTGTACCTCTTACTGTACAGTACGAAATCCGAAATGCGTAAATATGACAGTTCATTCAGACAGCCACGTATTCAAACCAGTGGTTTCTACACCCAAAGCAGAAGCAACAAGACTGCGTAGATATTACATTCTTAGTTGACAACAAAAAATGCAGTTTTTTTAAAAGCGTCAAATTTAGGCCTACCGTTCAAGGAATATTGCAAGTGTTTTTTTATGGTTCAATCTATTATTTTCAACGTGGATGTTTATGATTCTTTTACGAGTGCAATTGAGTGAGAGAACGAAAATTGCACTATCGAAGCAAAAGTACAATGAGCGAAGGCATGAGCGAAGAATATATAGCGAAACTACAGCGGTAACGGTAATGGACTGTGGTTGTCGCGCGACGGGCCTGGGACTGAGGTTGGGGAAAATGTCGAAGCGGAGGCCCGGAGCGCGGGTTACCCGCCGAGCCGTGAGGTCGGGGTGCGACGTGCGAAGGTGGCGGGAGGATTGTCGATGCGAGAGTTGCGAGTGGTAACGGTGCTGACTGTGGTGCTACAGTGGTGTACGCACTGAGCTGGGACGCGAAGTAAGGAAAAGAATTTTTCCTTACACTACCCCCCCCCCCCCCCCCTAATGGAGGTCCTCCTTACGAAAGTGCGTGTACATCCCTGAAGTTTCGGCTGCGCAGATACTCGGTGAGGACGGGGTGGTTTTTGATTATGTCCAGGGGAACCCAGTTGTCTTCGGTGGGTGTACGGTCTTTCCAGCGGATCAGGAACTTGATCCTCCGGGAGGGTCGCGAACTCTGTGACTCAGAATCTTCTCGGGGGTGATGATTGGTTCAGTCGGCGGTCGTGTCATGCTGGCTGGGCGACTACGTGGGAGTTGGCTTGTGGACGGGACGTAGGGGCGAAGCAGGCTGACGTGGAATGAGGGGCTGACGTACCAGTCAGCGGGGAGGAGGAGGTGGGCGGTGACGGGTGTGATCATGTGGCTGATGCGAAATGGTCCACAGTATCGGGGGCGGAGTTTTGGGGTGATGGGCAGGCGGAGGTTCTGGGTGTCAAGTAAAACTAGGTCGTCGGGCTGGTAAGTGACAGGTCTGCGGTGGCGATCGGTATTACGTTTAGCGATGATGTTGGATTTTTTTATTGCGTCGGCTGCCCGGGTCCGTGCTGCTTGTAAAATTTCGGCGAACTGTTGTGCTCGTGGCACTGGGTTGTCGGGATTCGGGGTCATGGGTACTGTCGGGTCTTGTCCGTAGTTCAAGTAAAACGGTGACTGTTGGGTCGTGGCGGAAGGTGAATTGTTGTACGCGAACTCGATGAGTGGCAGTTGCTGTTCCCAGGTGGTCGGGTCGTCGCACGTGGCTCGGATGAGTTGTTCCATAGTCTGATTTGTCCGTTCTGTCTGTCCGTCGATTTCGGGGTGGTACGAAGAGCTGAATTGTAGTCGCGTGCCAAACTGCTGCCACAGGTTCCGCTAGAAGTTGCTGGTGAATTTCGTGTCTCGGTCGCTGATGATCGCTGCTGGTATCCCGTGCAGTCGTACGACGGTGGCGATGAAGAGGCGTACTGTTTCTTCGGCTGTGATCGATTTCTTGCAGGCTGCGAAATGTGCCATTTTTGTCAGTCGATCGACGACGACCAGGATCGCGTCGTTCCCACTCGCCCCAGCCGGTAACCCCGTGACGAAGTCCATCGTCACCTGTTGCCAAGCACGCTCTGGGGGTGGTATCGGCTGCAACTGTCCTGCCGGCCGCTTTCGTGATGATTTCATGAGCTGGCAAGTGGGACACGAAGCCACGTGTCGTTGTACGTCGGTCAACATCTCGGGCCAGTAAGAATACCGCTGCAGCTGCTGCCGTGTTTTTTCTACCCCGAAGTGTCCCGAGGTAATTCCGTCGTGTGCCTCCTGTAACAGTAATTCCCGTAGCAGTGTGTACCCGGGCACCCAGATGCGGTCGGTCCCAGCTTTTACGTAATAGACTCCCCTTGCTGCTGCAAACTGCTGCGAATTTCCTCCCGTGAAGAATGGGTCTATTTGGTACCCGTGGGTAAATAGGCCTGTCAGTAGTCGGCTGGTCTGGGCGAGTAGTATTGCATGGATATGGGCAGTGGGGCGGGTCAGTGCGTCGGCGATGTTCGAGGCCCCCTTTTTGTAGGTGACCGTGTAGTGAAAATTGGACTCGAGGAAATCGAGCCAACGAATCTGTCGTGGGTTGAGGTGGGGCTGTGCGCGGAGGTACTGTAGTGATTTATGGTCTGTCCGTACTGTCACGTCTGCGCCGGTCAAGTAACAGCGCCACACTTTGAACGCGTGCACGATAGCAAGCATTTCGCGGTCGTGTATCGGGTAATTTTTCTCGGGCGGATGTAGTTTTCGTGACTCGTATGCGATGGGTTGTAGGCCGTTGCCGAAGTCCTGTAGCAGTATGGCTCCGATGGCGATGTCGCTTGCGTCGGTAACTACTTCGAATGGGCGGTGTGGGTCGGCGATGCACAGGACGGGCGGTGAACAGAGAACATTTTTCAGGGCAGAGAAGGCAGCATGCTCTTTCTCCCCCCACGTAAAAGCAACCCCCTTCCGCAGCAGATCCGTGAGTGGGGCTGTTAAGCGGGCCATGTCGGGGACGAACCAACGGACGTTATTAACGAACCCCATAAAACTCTGCAGCTGCGTGATGTTTGTCGGGGGGTGCCAGGCTTTGACTGTGTCCAGCTTCTTCGGGTCAATCTCAACCCCAGCCTCCGAAATAACGTGCCCCAAAAACTCTAGCCTGTCTCGAAAAAACTCACACTTAGAACCTTTGGTCAGTAACCGATGCTCCTCTAAAATCTTAAATACTGCTTCGAGATCCGCTAAGTGCTGCTGCTTGTCGCGACTGTAGACAAGGATGTCGTCGAGGTAAACTATCATGCATTTATCTAAAAGTGGCCTAAACGCCTCGATCATGGTCATCTGAAATGTCGCCGGGGCGTTGGTCAGCCCGAAGGGCATCACGGTGTACTCGAACGACCCGTACCTAGTC